GCTAGTATACATATATTACTAGAAAAATACCTTGCTGAACTGATGAACACTGCAGGAAAGAAATGGAAAGGAGTATGTTGTTGCCTTTAAAAAAAAAAAAGTAGAGAAAGCATGCAAAACATGACTTCTGGGATTCTTCCCAACCCTTCCATCAGTAATGACCATAGGAGACATCTGTTTCTTCTTTTGTGTAATGAAGCAATGTGTTGTATCCAGGTCTAATCAGAGCAGGTACATACGTGTTGCATCTGTGTGTAAACTTTGCTTTCCGCACATGCCGCATCTGTGTGTATGTATGCACTGAGAAACCCAGGACAGTCTTGTGTGTAAACTTTGCTTTCCGCACATGCCGCATCTGTGTGTATGTATGCACTGAGAAACCCAGGACAGTCTTGTGTGTAAACTTTGCTTTCCGCACATGCCGCATCTGTGTGTATGTATGCACTGAGAAACCCAGGACAGTCTGTATATCCTTATTATGGGCTACAGGACCAAGAGCGGGGGGGGGGTGAGTCTCAGAGCAGATGATTTGGCAGCATTCTAAGCAGTCCAATTGACTCCCCTGCAGGCATGCATTTGGGGGATTTTTTTCCTCTTTACTGTCTCATTTTCAAGCTTGAATTTTCATTTGCTGGCTTCTCCTGTGGCTTTTCAATGCATACGTACACATGCATATAGTATATACACAAACACACACAGATGCAGGACCACATTTGGTTTTGTTCTGCTTTACTTTCAGAGACTTATCCTTATCTAGGCAGAGTCCTGAACTCCTGATGTTACTTCTTTACAATATTTTGCTGGCTTGGAGAGAATAAGAACCAAACCATTGTGCTCTCTTTAGCTGAGGGTCATAACTGCCTATTATACAATGAGGCCACTAATTTGGCATATTATAAATGTGGAGCTATGCACTGTTCACACAGCTAGTTTGGGGCCATTTGGGAACCTGGCACATGATATGAATTACAAGGAGAGGACACTTAAGAGGAATGGAAATAAAAGATGGGGAGGGGAGGGTGGGTCTACAGGCAGGAGCAGGGGAGGTGATCTCATCCTTATTGAAATGTTAAAACAGAGTTTCAAGAACTGCCAGTTTTTGAGAAATTTTCTTAACTTTCAAAGTGAGTTGTATCAGTCCATGTTGCCACGAATAAAGTGCAAGTGCAGAAAAACCTAAAGACTGTCAAATCTGAAGCGAATCCTGGGATGAGGGGAGAAAGCAGGAGGGAAGGAAGGTACCAAGTCATAATTCAAATCAACATAGTGAAAATGGATCAGTCCGTGCTGCATGTTACAGCACACACTACTTCACCACAGACAAAGACTTTGCAGGGGCACTTCTAATTCTTGACTGGGCAGGACCACTGAGGGTCTGAAGTCTAGCATAAAAATGATTTAGATGGTGGTTGGTCTTTCACCCTTATTTCAGGTGTTATTTTGAAATGTAATGGCTTCATACTGGACTGAATACTAAATAGAGTCCTAGAATGGAAAGATTGGAAGGAACTTCTGGAGAACCTCTAGTACAATCTCGCGCCTAACTGCAGGAATGTACTACTACAGTATCTCTGACAAATGGCCATCCAGCCTCCAGCCAAGAAGAGTCTGCCATCTCCTAAGAAGATGATGAATAGATCTTGCTGTTATAATTTTGTTCTCAATGTCCAAATAATTCTACAATTAGGTCTGCAATTAAATCTATAATTAAATCTATAATCTAAGTTTTTGGAAGAACACTGAACAGGACTGCCACATCTTCTATTTGACAGTCCTCCTTTCTCTGAAGAGATTTATCATGCCTCCCCACGGTTTCCAGGCTAAACATATCCAGTGCCTCCAACTGTTCTGATACATTTATCCTTCCAGGACTCCTTATCATCTTGGTTGATTTCCTCTAGACATATTCCAACTTATCCATATCTTTCCTAAAATGTGGCACTGGATGCAATATTCCAGAGGCAATTTGGCCAATGTAGAATGGAAAGAAACGATCCTTCTGTTGATGCAGTGTAGGATTACATTTACTTTTTTCCACAGCTGTCAGTGGGCTTAAAGAGTTCTGAAAGTCTCTCTGCTATTTCTTTGACAGAGCCTGGACAGTTGTTTTCATCAGACATTGATGCCTGTGACAGCTGCTCTTCATCTGGAGTCCAGAACCATTATCATCAACCATGGAGGGTCTGGAATCTATTCCAAAGCTCAATAAAAAAGGAGAAATTCTGGACAAGCCTGGTCCTTTACACACACTGACTAGATAGAGAACGGGGTACAAATGTTGGCCTGTCCCTTTTTTCCTTTGACCTCCATGTATTCAGCTGAAGAGAAGCTTTATTTGTATTTGAATACAAGTACCGTTCTTCATGTGAACTGGGACTCTGTTTTATAGTGCACTGAGAATTATATTCACATAATGGAGGACACTCACTTTCAGATTTTCCAGGAAAAGTTGGCGAGAATAAGAAGTAGGGCTGTTTGTGTGGCCTCTTCCTCTATCCATCTTTAAGCTCTCACGTATCTGGTCAAATGACAATATTCCACCAAGTAGAGAGGAGATATTGACTACACATCCACAACCTTTTGTCTCCCTATTTCACAAGAAGCTCAGACCTTTTAAATGACAGATATCTATCACTATGATATGCTATCAACCAATAAATGTCTCTGAATTCTGGATTTAAAAGAGCAAGCAGGCAAGAGAAGTTGGCTTGCTCCCCAGGGAATTTTTAGAAATTAGGGTTGAGGATTTGATAAGGAAGCCAAAAGGACGCACATGTAGACAGAAGCATCATCATACAGTCATAGGAGTAAGGAGTCTATATATGTATAAGACCTGGCAACTCCCCAGCCCACTTTCCCCCAGCGTAATCACTAAATTAAAAAAGCCAGCCAGATTCACACAACTATAGACTTTAACGCAGAACTTATTAAAGGCAAATAATCTGCTGACATTTAAAGAAATGATGTGCAGCTTCTTCACCATTTCCACTCGAAGGGTTTTCTGCAGAGGATAAATGATATGAAGTAATGCGATAATAGCATTTAGCTTAATCAAATTCTATCCTGAAATTTGTTCAGCTTAAAACAGTCATCTGCAAAATCAATAGCTCTGTGAAATTATGTCTTCTGCATTGCCAGATTCCAGGGGTTGCCAGGTGGTGATAATTTTCCCAAATTATAACAAAGTTAGAAAGATAGATGCTCCCTCCCAATCTGTTTTTATTTTTATTAGGTACTATAGCAGTTGAGTTTCTTGGTGAGTGAGAAGTTGTGCTATTCTAGAAAACAGGCACTATATTTTGTGAGTGCCTCAGTATAAAACTCACAAGGGAGAAATAATTTCATTTAGTCTGTGAATTGAGCCAATCAAAGAGAAAGCTATAAAAGCTCTTTCAAATCCAAGTCATTCTAAATAAAAGGATTACATAGGGAAGAAGATGCTTTTAATTTGTCTAAACCCTTTTCTCCTCAAACTAAAAGTTCTATTACGGGGGGAGGGAGAGAGAGAGAGAGAGAGAGAGAGAGAGAGAGAAACTTCCTGTACTTCTTTACAAGTGCTTGAAGGATAAAGATGCATTGAAATCTGCACTGTTGGATTAAATCAAGGAAAGAGAAAGTAAATGGCTGATCTGTATAATACGTTAGTCATGACTTTCCTCCAGGCTTCAGCAATACAACTAGGGATTTCCTCTGGACCCCTTCAGTAATCTGCTGTTTAAAATGTAAAAATATCAGGGGATATTAATTTTAAACAGTAGCATTCTGAGTGCACAAATTTCAAAATGTAAGGATCAGTCACAGAACAGGGTGCTTTTGAAAGTTTCAACATGTTGTTTTGAAGGACAAACTGTAAAATTGCCTTGCAGACTATTTCTCTGGCGGCAGCAGCCAAATTCACAAAATGCAGAACATACTTTTAGCAGTAGGTTTACAAATCCCGTATCAATAGTGCTATAAATATTTGGTTATATATTCTCAGATTCTAACTAGGCTTGGAATTCCCCTGTCACTTTGAAGAGCTAACAAGGATTTCCACTGGTAACACAACCCATATGAGATTCATTTTCCAGAAAAGGCCCCTCGCCAGTTCTTCTTATGATATATGCTCAAGAGAAGCGATCAGGAGAAAAGCTAGCTTGGTTAAATGCCATTTTACCAAATCATTTGGGACCCAAATCATTAACAGACTTTAGTAGCTGACAATCAGAGATTTCATAACTATATGTAAATGGCGTTTTGCTATGCCTTATGGCCATACTTGAAAAAACAATATATCAGCTTGGCATTTTATAAAAAGTTGGATCTTATCTTTGAATTAATATAACCTAAGAGAATTTTAAGACCAACCTACACAAAACTGCAAAGTAGTATGTCTCTCATCAACTTCTGAATGAAAAATGCATGAGAAAATTAAGGGGAGAGTGTTGGGAAATCCCAGTTTTGCTTTTCTGACTTGATCAAGAATAGCTAAACCCTGAAGCTTGCTTTGTCTATTAAATAAGATTTTATCATTTTTTTCCTGGAAATGGTCAATTTCTGGACTAAACAACCTCTGAGGAGAAAAGCTTAAAACCTTTTATATTATAGGCTCTTTTCTCCTCTAATGAACTATTGCTGATTATGAACTAATACTAATAATCACTAGCCTAAATTAGCTATTAGAACTGGCTATTCAGTGACAATGAAATATATTTATTGCCTAAGCTAAGTGACTTAAGTAAACCACCATCACTTTCTTCTTTACCTTTTTCATTCCAAAGCAGCTGGAAAAAATATTTTGCAATTTTGTCTAGAGACATTGACACTTTGACTGTAAATTACCATTCCACGAGCTTACCAATCACTGATTTGTGAAGAGCTAACAATGAAAATCCTATCTACAAGATTTCCAGGCTGAGCTCATTAGACAACAGATGGAATCCACATGTGGATGTAAAAAGAAGGGATAAGCAATATAAAAATAAACTGATATGAAGAATAAGAGAAGGGAACACACTCACTTAGTTCTTCCCGGTGTCGCTCAGTCTGCTCAAAATAGTGACGGAGCTCTTCTGTGATTTCCATGTTGCTGAGGTCACACTCTATGTCCTCTTCACCTTCAGATTCTGAATCTGTTTCAGAAGCTCTCTCTGCTGCTCTCCTCCTTCTGACATAATGCAGGCCATCCTGAGGCCTTGGAGGATAGCATGGTTTGCTGTCTGAGGTGGAGAAACAAGATGGACCAGTTCTCCATGGAACACTTTCATCCCAATCAGAATAACGCTGATGTTGTTTGGAAGGATGAAATGATGGATTATATAAGGATTCCATGGCTCTCCTATAAGCGTTTTTATGTCTGTACATCCATTCCATAGCTTCATTATAATGTTTCCAATACCTTGCATACATTTTTTGAAAATACCATGGTCCTATGTCTTGACATAACAAATTTGCCTAAAAAAATGGACAGACAAAGTTCAGCAGTGTATGATCTAACTCTATAAATAATGTTTAAGTGTTTCAATTTATCTAAAAAACAAATACCTGATATAGCATGGCACAGCATATTACTTTATTATATGCAAAACATAAAAGAATAAGAAACACACACACAAATATCCTGTCCTGTCCTATCCTATCACAAAATCTAACTTTTAAATATATCATTGAATAAATATCCACCTGAAACTGGATGTAACTAGGGTCATTCCAATAGTGAAAATCAGGAACATCCAATGCAGCCAATAAAATCATGGAGTACATTCTTGCTGCTCCTACATATATTTATATGTTTATAAAAGCTTTTTATCTCAATATTAGGGCTGTCAAAAATAGGAGACTCTACCAATTCACCAGATACCTGAAATTTCTTCAGTTCCAAAATATAGGTAGGTAGGTAGGAAGGAAGATGGTAGGCTGGAGACCACATGAGGATGAAAAAAGAATAGAATGTGATCAAAATAGAATGGTACAATTAGAGGAATATTACATTAATTGTATCATTATATTAATCTGTTTAATAGATAAGGCTCTGTTGCTTTACAAGCCCAGATTCTGCATTTTGTCCAAAAGGCAAAGGGAGAGCCAGAAGCATCCCAACACAAGATTCTCAGTTAAAACAAGAAAGGCTAATCGAACAAACCTTTGGAATTCTATTCTAAGCCATGTAATCAAGTCTCATAGTCCTCTCCCTTGGAATATGGCATGTGGATCATGCATCCAGTGTCTGAAAAGCACATTTAGCAGTTGTGAAGCAGTCTTATTTTGTGGGTTGTGGAAACTAACTTACTCATCAAAGATTGCTAGACTTTGCATCTCCCCTCTTCATTTCTGCCAACTACTTTGCATAGGAGATTGAATGAATTGCCTACAAGTAGTCAAGAGAGAATTCCCCAAGTTTTTGTTTCAGATGCTTCTTTACATTACAGTAAATCCTTGGTTGAATGGACCTCTGTTTAGTGGATTTCAAACACACTGAGCACGTTATTTGTTTGGATTATCCATTAAATCAAAGGTTTACTGCCATATACCATTTGCATGAATTATGAATTACCCAGAGAATGAATATTGGTGTAAACCATGTAAATTAGAATTTAACAGGCATTAAGATTAATGGACATCCCTCTGCTTGAATGGCCCATTAAATTAAGGTTTTACTGTAGTTAGATCTTCTTTAGAAAGAAATTTAGAAACAGAAAATTAGGGTTACTCTATCTAAAATGCATCCAGCATTTAAGTTAGGTACAGAATCTCCTTGAATACAACCAGGCCACAAAACCATTCATTACAGTCTAATATTAAATTCAGCATTTGTTAAGAGGTGAAAGCCAAAACCAAAAAGGTGAATAATCAACTAAAAATAGCCTGTTGCAAATAAAATTTGGTTGTTATGACAAATAATAATGGAGTTTATAGGATTAGAGATTTATTTATTTGATGGGAAGCCTCTTTCTGTCTGCTAAATATATTCTACAGAATTGGTCCTAAGGTCCAACTCGGTCTCAAGAAAAGGAAATGTAATCAATTCTTCTTAAGTTCTGAGATTTTATAGCGGTCTTTGAACTATATTCTATATCCACCATTTATAACAGAAAAAGCTTATTTAATACTACAGAAAAGTCATCAAACACAGCTGATTTTCTCAAAAGTATAAAACAAATATGGGGAAAGGAACTGGGATTTGAACTTGATGAATTTTCTTGGAACATTTCAATTACCTATATCTCTACTGTGATAACAGAGAATTGCCAAATTATTGGCAATTATTTAGAGGTGATTAAAATATAGTTCATAGATAGTATGACCTATCATTCAAATTCTATAATATTAATAAACATCTTATTAGACTCTAATTGGTAAAGAAAAGTTGAATACCAAGTGGATGCAAGTACACAGTTCTCTTGGCAGCCATAAGGAAGTGGTTTGCCATTTTCTTTTTCGTAGCTTTTTAAAAAATATATTTTCCAGTGTAGCCTACATCCCTTGTATTCCCTGGCAGTCCCTTATCTAAGCACTAATAAGGCTTGTCTCTGCTTAGCTTCTAGGCACAAGGTTAACCAGGTGCTGCCACCTGCTGAAACTGGTACACATTATCATCTCTGCCCAACTGATGCACATCTAGCAATTTTTATTTCCTCTGATCCCTTGCAGGATCTACCCCTACTTGGGAACTGAGGCAGAGTAGCATGAGACTCCTCAGAGGCTATGTTCCACACTAAATATGGATACTAAATACTAAATTCAAAATTTAAATTCTAAAGAAACCTGGAAAGTAGAGATTAGATGTGCATGGAAATGGAGCAAGTAAGCTTACCTCTGCATTGATCATCCATGAGGACAATCACAATAATAATTCAAGCTTATCTGCTGTTGTTGCATTTTACCTACGAACACCTCAATTCTTCTAGATGTTTCAAAGACTGACTTTGAGTTGAAAAAAAGTTTTCTTTCCTTTTTCTAGTTGTCATGGTAGAACAGCTCGTTTCATTATTAACATTAATGAATATATCCAGCACTCACACCACATATGGAAAATATGCATTACAAATCTTCATGATCTTAAACAAACTGTATAATATATGAATTGTCAAATGTATTGTTCCCTGTTACATCTGCGAAGCAATGAAACATATCAAATATTCTGTCAACAACCCTTTTCTTCCAATGAACTAACTTACTTTTAAAAGCTTCTATCTTAATAATACGGGAGAAGGATAAAATTAATGGACCTTGTAAATTTTATCTTGCAATTTCAGTTCTCTTAGGAGCTCTGATATATCTACCACATATACTGGTTAGAAAGCCCATTTGGCATTACTGAACAACCTTGGAAGCTTGGATTTCTTTCTTTTCAAATTTCTCTTCTCAGCTTGAAGACCCTGGATAGCGTCTTGCCATACAATTGCTATCTCACTGTGGTATGTAGCAACAGACTTGTGAATACACAGTACACATATTAATATTTTGAATATTTGTCTGTTTAGTACATTGGCATTAATTTGATAAAAATTGTTTATGCAATCATACAATCCTGTTTAAGAACCACCTGTTTATCTGCAAGCATTTCATGTTGGCTCATATAGTGTGTAACTTGCAAATCAGCTTTTGCAATTTTATAAATTTTTGTATTGTCCTTGAGGGTATGCCTGCCATTATAATAGCACCACCAGTATAAATAACACTTTTCCATCAAGGCTATTGTTAAAAAAAAATGTTCATCAATAATGTGATAAATCTCTATATGTTTTGTTTGGGTTGACTTGCTGTGAACCATGAATACATTATCAAGCACATTTTCCTCACTGGTACACTGAATAAATTCTATTAAAATGTCACTGTTTGAAATATCTGTTGATCAGTCAGCTGAGGAATAAGTGGTGCTTCAGTATCATAACACATGTTTTCAGTATAATGGCTTATTGAAATCTTATCATTTGAGTGGGATTTTAAGAGTTCTATTTTTCATCTCGAAGAATTTCTATGCAGGCTTCTAATATTGCTGGCTTTATCACTGTCTCCTGTATTGAATATGGATATTTCGCATTCAGTAATTTGCAAATAAATTTTTAAAACTGCCAAAGTAGAGCAGTGCCACTATTTGCCAAAACAAACATACCTTTTTATAAAGCTTTCATTGCTGATACAATCCCTTGAAAGCACTTCAAGTTTATTCTTGGATGTTGATATCTCTACTATACCGAATTTAGGTTTACTTCTTTCATCTTTGTTTGATCCTCTTTAAATCAGTTATTATGTGTTCATTGGGATCCTTTGGCATGCCAATTTGAGGTTAAAACCTCCTTCTGAATTCAGAGGTCTTTGGGAAGACCTTCCTTGTTTTTCCATGTCTGTTTCCAGCTTCTTTACTGATGTTGTTACAGATGTTGTTGTAATACTCTTTTTTGTCTCTTCCAACAGCTCTCTGAAATTCTTTGTTAAGTTCCTTCTTGAGAAATTGTCTTACTTGGCTTTGACTTCTCTTGTTGGCAGTTTCCACGGTTTGCTCTGACATCCAGTTTGCTTTCTGCTGTTTCTTAATCTTTGGCAGTCTCTTTTCATTTGGTGGTCTCTTTTCACATTCACCCTTGACAACTTCTTTAAGTTCATTCCATAATTCTTCTGGTTACCAATCAATGAATATGAATGTTGAGACAACAATTCCTGATGTTCTTCTTGCTCAAGACTGTATCATTGAAACTGGTTGGCTTTCTTCCTACCCTTTAGCTTAATGCAGAGAGTATGGAAGATGACCTTGGCAGTAATATGCGAGAACCTAGGCAAAAGGGGCTGAAATAGTTTAGCCCTCCTGTGGAATTAATTTCATGGTCTGGTCTACCTAGTGGGGCTGAGACTTAACTTGGAACATGCACATGAGCAATTTGTGATCACTTCCACAGCCAGCCACTGTCCACACCTTTGCTGTTATAACTTCAGCTCTTCCCCCACCTTTTCCCAATAATATAGTCAATTTTATTTCTGTGTACTCCATCTGGTGATCTTCATATATATAGGCATCGGATGTGATTGTTGGAAGACTGTGCTGGCAGTTAAAAAATAACTGGTTTGGCAAAAACTTATAAATCATTCTCCTACTTCATTTTGGTTTCCTAGACTATATAGTCTAACTACATTTTCCTTCTTAGTATTTCCAACTCTGGTATTCCAGTCTTCAACTATAAGCAGCAAAACCTGCTTGCATATTCTGTTGATTTCAAACTGAACTTGATCATAAAACTCACCAAACTTCTCTTCTTCTGCATCAGTGGTTGGAACACAAACTTGCATAATTGTCATATCAAAAGTCTAAATGATATTATTCGGTCACTGCTTACATTGTACCATTCTTGTTATACCCTTCCTAAATAGGAAAGCAATGCTGATCTTTTGTTTTTCATGTCCTAAGTAGTAAACAGTATAATCTTCTGACTGAAATTGTACAATAACAGTACATTTCAATTTGCTGATGCCTAAGATGTCAATGTGTAGTCAATTCATTCATTTTTCACTGTATTGAACTTTCCCATGTCCATGCTTCTTATGTTCCAGGTTCCCACTGTAATTCTGTCTTTGTAGCTTTGGATTTTCTTTTCCTGCATGGCAACATCAGCAACTAGACATACTGAAAGCTTTAATCTAACTACACCATTAGTACTCTGAAAGATCCTCAGCTCTTTCTTACAGCATGTTAAATGCCATCCAACCTGTGGGGCCAGTCTAACACAATATTGTTAATTTTTTTCTATTTTCTCTCCATGTCATTTTTTTGGTAAAATACAGGAGTTGTTCACCATTGCCTTCTTCTGCACAGTATGAAATTGTGCCACTAAACTGTTAATCCCTCTCCAGCATCTTCCAATATCACTGCTGGCTATTATAGGTGCCTGCTTGCTTTAGCTGGGCAGCTGGGGTGATTCCCTTGGATTACCCTGCTGAGATTATACACTATTGGCATATATTCCCAGTGCTCCTTGCTTGTCCCACCACCATCACAATAAGGTAGACAGGAGGGCTTGGGGGTGGGGGTTGATCTGTTAGTAAGGGAATAGTGCTTTTAGGTTTGGACTATTTTTCTCCCAGAATTCTGAACTGGCCTATTCAAAGATTTACTAATAGGATGAAGTCTTGCATTCAGACAAGCACTGTACTCATATTACAGAAATATCTGTAATTAATGGAAGTATCTTCCTTAACTCAGGATAGGACCCACCTGAACAATAACACTAACATAGCCTTTGCCCCTGGCAGTTCAAAAATCTTGTAGTTTGAGTGTCTTTGTTCTAGGATAATATGGACATTTTAAGCCAAGGTATCTGAGCAAGATCTAAGGAAAATATCAACAGAACATCTTCATACAAAGAAAGCCAGCATGTCTGTGCTCTTTTGTAACCACTAGCATGGCAAACATCTAACTGAATGTCAAACAGAGAAACAACAGAGTAGATGGATGTAAGTCAGATAAGGCCAGTTTACACTTACCACAACTGCTTGTGCAGACTAGATGATCATCATGATTATAGTTTCATTCAAGTTTAAAATATCTGAGGATCTTAGAGAATCAATAATTATCTAAAGCTCTATAGCCTAAACTGGTACATGCAGTAACCAAGACAGTCTGCATAACAATAAATGTTTCATTAGTGAATACTCTGGAGAATGTTCCAATTGCTTATACCACAAAAGGATAGTGAAACAGCAAAGCAATAGGAGGCAAAGGCTATATATAAAGCTGTTGAAATATAAGGCTGCTGAATACAGCTATCTTCTAGGGCTTCTCCAGTTGATGTAATATGTAGGACCTGGGGCTTCCAGATGAATAACTGTTTCTGTCTCCTTCCCCTATTCTTTGAGGAAAAAATACTGCAAGTGCTTGTCTAGAAAGTTCAGGTCACATGCATATGTACACGTATGCCCAAAAGTGCCTTAGTCCTCCATTTTGTAAAAGCCACTATAAATTGGGTCAAGATATTTGCATCTCATTCAGCACTATAGAATTTTCTGTTTCACTGTTAAGAGTGGAAACGATATTCTTATTTCAGTGTGAAAAAAGGTTAAACACAATACAATCAACTAACTTTCCATATCATGAATACATGTCATGGTCACCAAATCCCAGAAGTTGACAAGATTGATTTCTAAAAGTGATATTTTAGCCCAAACTATAAGAATAAATGAATTCCAGAAGCCTAATTGTATTTATTCTTGCTATTCAGTTTTAACAATGAATCTTAAGAGGTCAATCTCCTTTTGTTTATGGCTAGTTTCACTTTCTGGTTCCCAGGGACCAGTAGGACATACTGTTTTGTGTCAGAAATATTTGAATACAAGCCTCTCCTCCACTCTCAAACCTCTCTGAAAAGCTTTATTTTGGGAGAGGGGGAGGAGACTTGACAATGGATTCAGTCTCTATGCCGCTGAAGTTAATGGCAACATTCCCATTATTTTAATCGCCCTGGGCTACACAATAGCCTTTTGAAGACACAGTTTGCAAGGGCAAGAACAAATTGCTCCAAAGATTAGCTTATTTTGTACACAACTTTTTCTCCTCATGAAGGTCTCTGACAGTTATTTTTTGTGTTTCTACTTTCTTAAAGGGAAAAAAAAAAGCAAAGAGATAAAAAACTCAATCTCAAAAATTCAGAATTCAAGTTTATATTTAGTATACCATCTTCTGGATGCAAATACCAAAATCCAATGCCTGCATTTAAAGAATTCCATTAGCCTGACCCCTCTACCTGATATCCTGACTTAGTCGTCTTCAACTTAGTTTTCTTCAGATATCAACCTCCATCGTCCTAGCTTCAGGGCACATGTAGGTTATTTTACTCTAACGTTTTTATAACACATCAGTTGGGAATGGTTATCCTAGGTTTGCATATGCTGACAGTTTCTGCTAGGATCCATGAAAGCTTATTAGAGCTTAGAATTTGTAACTGTGTGTACTTTGACATTAAAAAAAGCTCTTTTATTTTATTCATATGGAAGGAATAGGTTAGTTGAACCAGTAAAAAGACTGACAACTCCTATAAAGGAAACCAGTTACATTTTTTGCTCAAGTGCAAAATATTAACGTAAGTCGTTTCTCAAGCTTATTTCAGTGGCAACTTCATTGAAAAAAGAATACAGCTGGTTGGTTTGCGAAGCTGTTGTTAATTTCAAAGAGGGACACAAAGGATTGTTTCAAGTGGTTAGAACTGTGATTCTGACACAAAGCCAAACTTCTTTTAGGGAGAAGGAAAAGGGGTAGAAATGACCCAGGAAAACTTCTAGTTTAAATAGAGGGTTAACGAAATCCGAGTATTTTAAACAATTAAAAGGAGGAAAGTCTAAGAAGCTACAAAGCTATTTGAATGAACTGTTTTTGGTAAGTCTCGGATGATTACGGAGCCAGTTTGGTGTAGTGGCTAAGGCACCAGGCTAGAAACCAGGAGACTAGTGAGTTCTAGTCCCACCTTAGGCATGAAGCCAGCTGGGTGACCTTGGGCCAGTCACTTTCTCTCAGTCCTAAGGAGGAGGCAATGGCAAACCACTTCTGAAGAACCTTGCCAAGAAAACTGCATGGACTAGTCCAGGCAACTGCCAGGAGTCAAAAACTGACTTGAAGGCACACACACACAGAGGATGATTATGGGGAACATAATGGTCTTCCTAAACCTTAAAGAAATTATACTATATATTTCTCCAGAAACTACAAGAGATATTTTGTCAAATAAAAACAACCATGAATATGAAAGATCATTACAATGGTGTTACTTGTAAGACTCTGCTTGGAACAACTTCTTGAGTCTATTGTCCTGAGATGTGTCAGACTACAAATTTTATTACTGCAAGAGGAACAAAGCAATTTTATTACTGCTTCAGGTTAGGAAATATTGAAAGTACCATGTTTGAAATGAGTATATAAGCATACAATGTTTGTGTGCACGCAGATGCATACAAGAAAGAATGCCACTCATTTATGACAATCAAAACACCATTTTGTTTAACTTCTGTTCCAATGATGTGGTTATGAATGGACTGAATATGAATGTCATTCTGTAGATTTTCTGATCACACAGAAAATTCTAAAGTGAATGGGAGTAGAGCCCTCAGACAGCCTGTTATTCAAGTGTGAGAACATTTGAATGGGTAAGTTTGACACACAGTGATGCAATGCAATGCAATGCCAATTTTGGTCATTACAGGCTTGGGAGAACAGGGCTCCAGGAAGGTTGTAATGCCTTGTTCCAGTCACACTCTTTCCTCCATATTGGAAGGAATGTCTCCTCATAAGTGATAGATGGTCATTGTAAGTGATGCTGGCATACATCCTAAAATAACAAGCTTCTTCATTAATAAAACTCATTGAAACATTATCATTAGCTGTCTTCTTTTCTCAACCACACATTCTGAGTAGACATCCATAGCACCATACAATTATATATGAGGTGCAAAAGGCCAGTTGCCAGGAAAAGTGCTATTGGAACAATGATGGATAGGCAGATTAAGTTAAATTAGGTTAAGGTGCAAGACTAGGAGTGGGGAAGCCCAGGTTCTCGTCCTCCCTTAGGTACAGAAGCCAGCTACGAGACTAGACTGGGAAGTCAAAAAACATCTATCTACCAACAAGAACAGGATGGGAGATGTTGGTCCCTGATCTTCAACGAAGAGTGCATGGATTAAATACACACACACACACACACACTCCTACCTCACTGGAACTAAAATACACATCTTTTCATTACAACTGCCTTCCATAATGATTACCAGCTCCACTTAAATTTATGTTCTTGCCTAATATTTTCATCCCTCTCTTTTGAAACTGCTTATCTAATAGGGTATTACTTTATTTCTTCTAATTTTAGGGCACAACTTCCCAAGAAAGAATAAGATACACACCATTTTCATATTCAAAACCTGCCTGGAAAGCAATTCATACTTCACTGCAAAGGTATAGAAAAGACAGTGTAGGATGTATGATTCTGTTCTCCAACCCCCTGATTCTGCATCCAGTTCCCGGCATCTGCTGCTTCAGGCTGTCATCACACTCTTTACTAATGGCAGTACTTGCAATGAAAGGCAAGATGATTTGTTATGACACCAAGTGCAAGAGTTGAATAGTGGCCGACTTTTACTAAACTATTCTGCATTCTTTCCTCTTTTTTTATTATAAGGGTCTTTGCCCATACATGATAACATAGATACATCCTGAATTATAATTCAAATGGATGTTAAGTGACTTCAAAAGGCAATTCAACTGGAATGCATAAATAAATCCAAATATCTGTATCTACTAACATGAAACAAATCAAATGCATTAGTAATTACAAGGAAACAAATCTTACCATTGTCTGTCAGTTCATGTACCAGTGATAACTGCGAACTAAAGGATAAAAGAAAGTGAAAATCAAAATTTAGCACACAGAATGATAGGCAATTAAAGAGCAGTCATTTAAATTCCCAGAGACTCTTTTCTGGTTGTGTTTTATTTTTTAAAGCCCAAGTTAATTTAGGGTTAAGGTGTCAAGTGTTTTTATCTCTATTCACTAAATAAGAATTTAGTTCCTTCTAATTTTATCATGTGCTAGTTTTCAAGAGGCAAAGGCTTTAATGAGTGGTATAAAATCGGTAGATAAGACCTCCCCTACCAAAATACTTTTCAGATGTTTTGCAGTGCTGGGGCAAAATAATTCCACTCTCACTCTCCATTTTATTATCTGCAGTCTTAATAGTTCAGCACATTTACCTGAAAATAAATCCAACTGATCTTAGTGGAGTTTACTTCTGATGAGACAGGCATACAGTTGCAATGTTGATATTAAATTTCCTCATTCTCCCAGAAAAATTACTGTTTAAACTTTGGGTGTTTACTGCCCAAAAAGCTTATCTGTGATTTTGCAAAATATGATGTAAACATGCTTTTCCTCACAGTTCAATTTTAAAATAGGATTGCTTTTTTGTGACTTCAACCATTGCCCTTTGGAATACTCTCTGACCCTTTCCCTCTCAAGTAAACGGTGCTGCTAAGAGAACAATCCACCCATTCTGTAAAAGTAATCTGTCTCATAAACAGCCAACAGAACAGCCATTTATGGTGGCAGTCATTTTGAATATCTCAAAGTTCAAAACATCCTTACATCAGAGGCATGTTTGAACAACATCACCAATACTGAGCAGATGCAAAAAACCACAACAGAAGCCAAAGACAGATCCCAAAGTCATACAAGTTTCCATCAGTAGATGCCTTCAAGAAGCAAGTATTCTGTTCCATCAATATTATACTTCACTTGCAGCATAAAAATAAGTAAATAATGAAAGAGCATGGAATTAAGACTGTCTTAGATAAAACCTGGAACTCCAAATCTCTTTTGCAGTAGGACTTTTTCACCTCCAAGCACTGTAGTTCTAAATGAAAGGAGATCAGTGCTATCAGGATGATCTCCATTCAAATGAAATGCAAATGATGAAGTGACCACAAGGCAGCATAGAGGACCAGCTAATACGATTACACAGCTGAGAGCAATTGATTGTTACTTGCTTGATTGCTACTTACAGGCAAACTGTAAGTAGCAGTTTGGGGAAAGATCTGAAATTTTATTATACTACACCGAAAATCCTAGAATTTACTGCATCTCCTCCAATTTTGGAGAGGAAAAAGAAAAATAAAGCCTCACATCATACTAAGTCCATGGAGATTTCAGTATACCTATGCTGCAGTTCCACAGTACCATTTCCATTTTGTCTATCTCCATAGTAGATACAAGCCTCTTTTCCATAGTGATGCCAGCAGACAATATTTTATGTAAATCACAAATTAACAGGGGACTCAAAAACCTAACTATTACTGAATCCCTTGTACAGTATGAAGATTTTCTATACCAGTGTTTCTTAGCTAATGGTAGTACAGAGAAAATTTGCTCCATCTAGGAAAGGAAAGGAAAAACTTCTCAAAGAACTGCTTAGGTGCTTGCTTGAAACTCAAATTCTGCTCAGGTGCTTGCCTGAAAACAGGAGGGCTCAAATTAGGTAGAAGATGGGGAATCCATGAGGCTTTTCCCTCAAACCTCCATATGGTTCCCTGACTGGGGAGAATCATTTTTAAAAATATTCTAGGAGTTTGCAGCAGGCAGGAAGTCCATCTATTCTGTAGCTGTTGAGAAAGATAAAGCTTCTCTGCTATCTGTTGATTTTTAATTTCCAGAGGGAAGGATGGGTTCTAGGGATACAAATGAGCCAAAAGGACACAGGTATGGAGTGATGGATAGTATATGCCTGCTCTGTTAAGTACAAAAATTTTATTTGATTTCAGTGTTATCCAACCATCATTATCACAGAGCAGGAAGGCTTTTATTTTCATTTTTGACCAGTAATGTATTTATTATCCTAACACTTCCAGACTTTTGATGTCATTTTGACAAAATCCATCATAAACAATATTTTTTAATAATGTGGGAAACCTTCAATTTCCAATTTGGGGTAATAATGAAGCAAATCAAAAGCCTCCCTGTGCTGGAATAATAGTATTTTCTGGCTTATGGTTAATAAGACTATATTCCTGACATTTTTTATCTTTTTCCATTCTATTACATTAAAAATTACAATTCTAAAACAATGTTTGGAGGCCTCTGAGGGTCTTTATGGTTATATGTGGACTTTGGATGAAAAGTGTTAATAAAACTTACTATACCAAAGTAACTCACTTTGTTTTACAGCCTAGACCAGAAGTGGGCTATTGTTTGGTTGCCAGGAGTCGATATAATACATTTGACAGGGGTAAATTCTACAAGAGGCAGACAATGATTGGCCATATCATATACATATATACGGATTGAGTATATTTTTTCCTTCTAGATATTTTGCATTGGGGTTTATAAACTACCGTTTCATACACCAAAAAGTTAGGAAATCATGCTGCTGATTGATTGCACCACTGTCTTTTGAAGAGATATGCAAGAGACACTAAACAGGATGTGGGGCTATGGGTTGCTCAGCCCTCCTGCCAGGGTCTTTCCCATCACAATTCCATGCCAAAATGAAAAACCATGAACAACAAAGCTGAATTTCTCATGACATTTTCATGACTCTTGCATGAAAACATATTCTGTGGTTAAGCAATAATACAAGGAGAAAAATTAATGCCAGAACCACGATAGGAGGACAAGGAAAGTTTGTGAAGGGCAGCAAATTATAACAGACTGGAAGAAATCCTATTTTACTGATAAGATGCCCACAAGGCAATTAAATTTTAACAAGCTGTAATGACTGTGGATACAGAATCAGCATAAGACATCAGAATCTTTAATATATAGCACTTTTCTCTAATGCCATCCAAACAAGATGGACTTCCTGGAAGTCTTGTGGCCCAACTTGTTTGGCAGGAACCAAGTTAACTGAGGCAACCTGCAAACATTGATCTTTGCCTTTTCACCATCTCAGATCACAACCCAAAGGTCCATTTTTTATCCATGATCAAACCAAACAACACACAAATAAGGGGCAACCCTTTATTCTAATATTGTACCAGAGCAGAAAAATTACATTCATATCCAGCAACCACTACACCCAAGTAGTATATGTTGCCGCTTGGTGTCTACCTTGAATAAATTTAGAAGCAAGAAAATCTCAAGACCTACAACCATATTCTGCATTTCTGCCTGTTTTAATTCTAATGATGAATATAATCATCAATATAATCATGCAAAATCCTACTGTAGTGTGTATGAACAAATGGCTTTGAAACAGCTATGCTGTGATGATAGCTGCAGAAATTAAATGCTACAAATTGTTCAAATTAGTTTCTGATCTTGCTGGTGTCAATAATACTGTGCATTATGTCTTTTTGTGCAGACTATGTGCTTAAAAGCAAGCTGAGGGAAGATAGCCATCATTCCAAATACAGCAGTTTTAAATTTTGCAACCATGCAATGTGTTGTATATTATGAAACATCCATGCATAAATTCATGTAACTGGATACCCTTCTATTAGGAGAAGCAAGAGGGGCAATTTAGAGACCTTCTTCTGCCCTCAGCTAGAATTGGTCAGATGCATATGGACTCCAACTCTCAAAAGCGGTCTGAGTGCCAAATTAGTTAAAAAAAACAAACAAACAAACCCAAACCCTGTAATACTCCTTGCAATTTTACTAAGAAGTCTGTTCAGAGGGCTTAATCCTGTAAACTGTTTTACATGCTAGTGCCTTGGGGGTCTCCCGAAGTCCTTGTCAATAAATTAGTCTGGATCACGTTTATTTCTTTAGGCAAGAGAAGTAAACTCCGAAGAAGCCACAGGATGCACAAGGATGAGCTGTGCAATGGGCGCAAACTTTTTTTTTTTTTAAAGAAAGAGTCGCAGCTTTTCTGATGCAACTTGCCTAACTGTTCAGGGAAAAGCGATTTGTGTGGATTCAGCTTAGGGAAAATTTGCCCTCTGCTTCCTCTTGATTCCCTTGTTCCCCCGAAGACCGCGGCGGCCGTCCTGCCCTTAATCCGGTGCCTTCCAGATGTGTTGGAAGCAATCGTGCCAGGCTGGCTACACGTGATGGGAACCGCGTTACGAGACAACTGGGGGACACCGAATTGAGAGAGGCTGCGCCGAACACGTCTGCGATGGAGGGTCGCTCCATTTGCCCTTCCTCCCTCCTTTCCCCATTAGGAAAGAAAAACCCGGACAGAAACCACAGAGCACGTACTTCGTCCGCACGATGCCCAATGAGAACCACGCCGCCTCCGTCCTTCCGCCCTGTAGGATCGGAAGAGGAAGAGGAGGACCCGCTGCTATTTGCGGTGCGGGAATATGTGGGGCTATAGCGCCATCTGCCGGTGCTAGGCGACCAACGCCACCAAAATCTTGGTTTTCTCCGAAGTATGTTCTTATACGGAACTAATGCTCCTGCGATATAGCTAACCTAGCAACGTTTACACAGAATGGGGAGTAAAGGCAGGTGCAAAGGCTGTGAAAGTTTGAAAAACTTTTGGGAAGAATCTAAAGCGGACACTCCGCCGAAGCAGCAAAATGAGGCTTGAGCAGACTTAGTGCTTTGGGGAATATTTTTTTATTTTACCGGAAGAGAGACAAAAGAGGAAGAATTGGATGGAGAGGTAGTGAAACTCCTTCCTTACTGGATGCTGCTTTCACGCAGAACTCTTAACATTATTAATTCAGTTTATTCCTATTGAGGGAACACAACCAGTGTAAACTGACCAGCTTTCAGTCTCTCTTGCTTTAATGAGAGGTCTTAAAAAGGCCTACAATATTTTACCATATGGCATAAAAAGTACTCTGTCATCCTGCCTCGTCTTTAAATGACCACCTTTTTCATTTTACTTCTGAATGTGAAAAAGTTCCTGGATTGCTTGTTTGTTTTAAACTAAACACTAATCAACCATGTGAAGTTGCTGCAATCTGTCCCGGCCCTCCCAAAAGTAATCTTTGAGCGGAACTGGACTCTTCCTCATGCATATATCTGAAGACATTTTTGGCAACAAATTCAAATATTAAGAAAAAACGAATTGGCTGCGTGTAGGCATATCCGAAAAGCAAATGTTGATGTTAATGGGTTTCCTACCACATTAACTAAACCTTGAGAATCTTTTAAGGTGCCAAGTGCTGGAAAAAATGGAATCAACTGAGTTGTGTGGATTGGCTCAAGATTGTGCTGCTTGGAAAGACTTTCCATTTTTAATTTCTATTTTCATCCTATGCTTGACTGTAATTATTTCCACCTTTACATTAACTCCATCATGGGGTGCTGAGAAATTGAGGGCACACATTTCACAGCAAGCATATGAGTTCCTGTTTTGAAGTGATTTCCTTGCCTTCTCTAGAATATGAAGAGCTAAATGTAATCTCTCTCTCTCTCTTCCCCCCCCCTCTCATTTAGATTTCTGATTAGGAATAGTGAAACAGTAAGATCTTGGAAATAAAATACTATTTTGAAGTCTGTGCAATTTTTGAAAGTATTTGTGTGTGTGTGAAAGGAGAATGCCTTTATTATTTAAAATAAGGTGTGATTTAAATAAATAATCTTGTTGGCTTTAATGGCTGTCATTATTTTAATGCATAAGTTGCAGCTGAAAAGGCGGGAGAGGAAGATGGAAGCCTCTTCTTACAACCCCTTAACTCATCCCACCATCCTCCTTCAGTCCTCCTCCCTACTTCTACTGTTCTCTACCCACTGGCTGCCTTTACAACTACTGCAAGATTCTTACTTCCTCCTAGCTTTTCTTCCTGCAATGCCCTGAGGCCATAAAATCTTTGCTTTGCTTTGAAAATGTTGAATTGTGCTGGCAATAGCATTCAGTTTTCTCCAACCAGAATAGGTTAATGGGGCCATGCTGCCATTTTACTCCCATGTGAGTTCCTTTATCAAATCTGGGGGTTTATTTGAGGCTTTAGGTATCATGGAAAACTAGAATGGTCTTCCATGTAAATTTTTAGGGAACATAACCTGGAACCAACATTAGCTGAGATAGAGCCACTGGTCTGTTTACACAACCCAAGCCATATTGTGGCTGGTTTGGTTACGGCTAAAGTGCTGTATGAAATCAGCTACTGTAGTCTATAATTTTATTACAGTCAGTAAGTATAATTTTAGAACAATTAAAATAAGATAGACCAAAACATTGCAAAATAATAAAATATTAAATGATATCTAATGGACCCCAAATTACTTTATTACTGAAACTATTAGCAAATTATCAATTACTAAAACACGAAAGTAATCAAGTGATCAAAATTTTAAAATAAATAATAAGTCTGCCTTTGGAATCTCACATTACAGAGAAGATAAACTTATTAAAGTACAGGTAGTCCTTGCTTTACAACCATTTGTTCAGTGACCGTTCAAAGTTACAACAGCACTGAACAAATGGTACTTATGCCTGGTCCTCAAAGTTACAGCTGTTCAACACTCCCACAGTCACAAGATCAAAATTTGGGCGCTTGGCAGCCTGCCCGCACTTATGACCGCAGGGGTGCTTCAACTCCCCCCACCCTCCTCTCTTCCCCCCATCTCTGCCCTTTTGGATACCCTGCACAGTGGCACTCCTTGGCCGTGGTAGCAGTGCCAGGGGTGAGGGTGGGGCTAAAGTAGAGGCCTGGGGGCCTGCCACCCCCAAGCCTCTACTTCAGCCCCAGTGCTATTGGCACTACCACCACCACCACCGAGGAGTGCCGCTTCAAGCCCCATGCCATGGCCTGCCATCTCAGTGCCACAGCTCAAAGCCCCAGCTGCCCCTGCTACCCTGTGCTCCACCAACCCTTCTGCCCCCAGCTAACCTTTGCTGTCTTCTTCCTCCCGGTGCTGACAAGGCGTGCCTGGCCTGGCCCTATGTGAGGCAGCTGCTGGCCGCACCAGGCCTTCTTCCTGAGGCTCCGCATGCTGTTCTCCAAATCATGAAAAGCATTGTGAGAAGGGTGCACGTGATTTGGAGAATGGTAGGTGCAATTTGGAGAACAGCGTGCACAGTCTCGGGAAGAAGGCCTGGGGTGGCCAGCAGCTGCCATGCACACTTCAGCCCCAGTGCTGCTGGTGTCCAGCCGCTGTCCAGGAGTGCCACTATGCAAGGTGGCCAAAAGGCAGAGATGAGGAGGAGATAGCAGGTGGGGGGAGTTTTAGAGGACGCAGTCCCTTACCTTACCGAGGCTCAGGGCTGGGAGGGACCAAGCTGGGAATGGCTTGGATCAGGGTGGCCCTCGCCTAACGACCGGTGGAATTTGGCTAACAATGGCGATGGGGACTGCCGAGATTTCTGTCACTAAGTGATGTGATCACGTGACGTCGTGCTTTACAACCGCATTGCTTAGTGAAGGAAATTCCGGTCCCAATTACCATCATTAACTGAGGACTCCCTGTATCAGGAAAAAGCATCCCAGTTCGCTTTCTTCAATAAACTGGCAAAACCACCCATGGTTTAATACAGTTACATCTCTAGTTGCTATCAGCTGCCCCAGCCTCACAGGCTTGTATTTTGGGAGGGCTATAACAATCAGGACAACCTGTCAGGCCTAGCCCAAGGAACTCCTGGAGACCATGTAGGTTCAATCAGCAAGGTTTATTAGTGAGCGCTTATTTACAGAATCTT